CGAAATTTTTCCGGACTTTTTCAATTAAACTACTGCAATAATATCGCAAGTTAAATTAAATTGATAAACAAATTCTTAATCTTCTCTCTCTCAATCCGATATACTATAATTATAATTATTATAGCCATTAAGCTGATTGAAATAAAAAATTATTTAATAACTATAATTAGTCATTTTCGATTGCCAATTATATATATTGGTTAATAGAATTTTATATATATATATATATATATAGTTATTATTACTATAATATACTATAGTAGTCATAATCATAATCATAGTAATTATAGTTACAAATATTAAACAGTTTTTCTCTCACACAGTGTGATACTTTTATTAATAATTATAATGCCACCAAGAACTCAAATAATCAAAATTAGTGTATTCGCGATCTCTAATAATTATTAAAATTTATGAAGATTTATGAAGATTATTTTTATGAAGATTTGTAAAATTATTTTTTTTAATAGAACCAACCGATATCAATAAAAATTCAATGCATTAGTCTTATTTTTAGTGGATTATCAGAAGTATTTATGTATACATGGCCAGCAGAACATTTGATTCACATAGTAAGTAACTCTTATAAAGAAACATATTACTTTATTTCAATTGTAATTTCAATTTATTTATTTCAATTATCTTTTGATATTTTTATAAGAGCGGTGAGATAATTCAACAAGCTGTTTTCGATACACAATGGTACAAGCAACCAGTTGCTCTACGAAAATATCTACAAATAATTATGCTCAAGGCTCAAAATCCAATAATTATCGCAATACCATGTGTTATGCCCGCATTATCTTTAAATTATTATACATCGGTGAGGAAAAAGTTTGAATATTGTTTTGACTTTGATCATCAATCATTTGGACAAATCATTCTTCACAATCCAATACGTAAAACAAGTTATTTCTTGTAATAATTAATTACATTGGCCGTATATAAATACAGGGCATTTTAAAATTCGCGCCTACGAAGTACAATACGTGATACTTTATATTAAAACAAACAACTTTTTCTTTTAACAAAATTGCATCCGATAAATAATTTTTGTTAACTTTATTAACTTAACTTATTTGTTAACTTCAATCTGCTCTCTTGCAAAAACTGCTTGTCAGATGCAATTTTACAAAAGGAAAAAGTTGTTTCTTTTAGCCTAAAGTATCACGTCTTATACTTTGCAGG